GGGAGGGGAGCTGTTGCATTGTGGTAAACTGTGGTCAATGACATGGGACAAAGTATATGTGAACTGCTGTATGGAAAGTGAATTTGGTCTGTAAATTTTCACCCAAATCACAATTAAAAAAAAAAGAAATGACCCTAATGAACTGCTCAATATACTGAGGAAGAAACCAAGACAGTTCACATGTGAGGCAGAGCAAGAGCTGAAACTAGACCTTGGGCTCCAAAGAGAAGACCTCTGCTTGTCCTGCCATGTCTAGCCAAAAACAATCTAGTAAAGAAGACCTGTAGCAGGTCACCAGGTGGCAATGTACCCAGAAGGGCCCTTACGAGTATAGTACTTAACCTCTTTTAGCCTTAGCATCTTCCTTAGTAAAACAGGGTCTTTACAGGGTTAAGAGGGTCAAATGAGAGAACACAGGCTAGCCAGGGCCAAGAAGGGCATCTGCTGGAGCCCTCAGCAGCACCTTTCAGGAACTGCCTGACCAGGGAGACCAGGGTAGGTATGTGTAGAGGAGGATGGAGCCATCAGCAGGGATCCATATCATATTGTAGCATAGCTGGCAGGAAAGCTACTCGCCTCAAAGATGAGGAGGATGCGGGAGTCGCGGAGCAGTCGCTCATAAGGGTAGTCTCTCACGTAGCCCAAGCCTCCAACGATCTGTAGCGCCTCACTCACACACTGCCAGGCAGCCTCTGAGCTGAATACCTGCCATAGGCCAAGGACAAAATCAGCACAGGATTGTTAATGCTGAACCCCTACCAAAAAGTGGAACCTAAGCCATTGAGAGCTGGGTGGCTGGGAATGAGGATGGGGCTCTGTACAGAGAATCGGGCTTTTGGATCAGACTCACCAAGGTCAGAATCTTGACTGTCACATTCTTCCTGGATGACCTTGGGCAAATTTTTTCCTTCCTCAACCACACTGACCATCCTGTAGCTTCCCACACCCACCTTCACTTTTCAGACCTCTTTCTTCCTCAGGTTGGAATGCACTTCTACCCCTAGGCAAACGCCTATGCTTTAAACCCCATCTAAGGTTCCCCCTCTTACAGGACACCTGATGCATTCCCTCAGCCTCACTGCCTCTTTCCTTGAACATAAGTCTGCTGTACACACTGCCCTGCATTGTCATGATTCACTTTCTCTGCCCACAAGGCAAGCGTCCTGAAAACAGAGGTACTGGCATATTTTGCCCTAGGCTCAGCCCCAGAAAAGGGTCTGCTTATAGGTGCCAATTAATGTCTATAGTTATTGTTGACAGGCTATGAGAGGATTAAATGATGAGTGCAAAAGCTCCCAGCAAAGACTATATAGAGATTTACCAAAACATTGGATAAAAGTCTAAGCTTCTTGCTGCTGTGAACCACTCGGAGGGGGAGGTATGTAGGAGACCATGGATAGAGAGGGAGAACAATGTAGAACAAAACTCTAAAACATTTGGAAAAAAAAAGGGGGGAGGTGGGGGCCAGGTTTGCTGGGCTGAAAGAGCCTGGTGCAACCACTGAGACTATGTCCCTAGCTGCACTTCAGTTCTGGAATTGAACCCACAGCTGTGGCTTCCAGCCAAACAAAAGACAGGCATATGAGTTGAACGTAATTTACCTGAGGTAGATACACTCCTTGGAGAGATCATGGGAGAAAGAAGGGCTATTTATGCACAGGGAGACAGCTCAAGGGGCAGGAGTGCAGGGAGGGATGGACACAGGGAAGAGGTAATTACCAGGAGAAAGTGGGAGAGGAGCTGTTGCATTGTGGGAAACTGTAGTCAATGTCATGAGACAAGGTGAACGGGAACTGCTGTATGGAAGGTGAATTTGCTCTGTAAATTTTCACCCAAACCTTTTTCTTTCTCTCTCTCTCTCTCTCTCTCTCTCTCTCTCACACACACACACACACACACACAAGTCTAAGCTTCTTAGGTAGACTTTCCTACTTACACCAAATCTTTGCTTCTCTAACTGCCACTGTCTCCAGTCCTTTCAAGAGTACATTCCAGGAACCAGTTTAAAAATGCTTATGGACTTCCAGTAAGAGAGAGGAATAGGCAGGTAAGTGACACAGACCCTCTTCAACAAAGAAAAGAAAAACCAGTTGACAGAGATACAGAACATAATCCTGGAACCCTGAGCTTTGAATACAGAAGTGGGAGAGCTCTGGTAGCATTATGGCTAAGGCACTTGACTCCTAACCAGAAGGCTGGCGGTTCAAACCCATCAGTCACTCCTCGAAAGGAAGATGGGGCAATCTACTTCCATAGCAATACTGCCTCGGAAACCCAAGGAGGCGCCGCTATGAGTCGGGTCCGACTCAATGGCACATAACAACAACAACAACAACAAACAGAAGTGGATTAGGCACCAACTAGTGAAAAAACCTGAACGAAAACAGTGAGTACAGAGACGGTCAGAGCTGTGGACTGTCAGCTATTCTGACGTGACCAACAGCCTAAATATTTCCAAGCAGTGCTGGGACCTGATAACTGACCTAAAGATCAGTCCTGGTCACCAAGGGCTGCAGGGACAAATGCTCTGGTGGCCTATGACTAGGAAGAAAAACAGCAAGGAGGGAGACAACTTAAGCTGTGGACTTTCTGCTGTCCAAGGGGCGCAGCCATTTTGAATGTTAACAAGCGATGGCCATTTTAGATATTTACAGTGACCAATGGCACAGCCATTTTGAATGTTTACATGTGACGGCCATTTTGGATATTTAAAGTGACGGAGGGCACAGCCATTTTGAATGCTTACAAGTGGCAACCATTTTGGATTTTAAAGTGATAGCATTCTTATTCTGATTCCAGGGACCTAAGAACAGGCTCTGTTTGCCAGGATCGGCAAGAACATATGAGAAGCTGACAAAGGAAAGGAGACAGGTGGTGAGTGTATAAGTGCTGTCAACTAGTGAATAGAGGAGCACAGCACAGTACCCTGCCTGTATAAGTAACATACAAACAAAACGAAAATTGTGGGCAAGTCATTCCAACATATAATCACCAACTAAATATAAATACAAAAATGTCACAATGCCTCAGAGACAACAGAGCATCACAGTCCACACAAAGAAGCAAGATAAAGCAGGAGAAACAAGGGACCAGGATACAGACCCAAAACATATCCCTGAGGAAGATGCAGCATTGGAACTCCCTGATAAGGAATTCAAAAGAATTATAGTTAGGTATCTTCAAAGGACTGAAAGACAGACCAAGGAAAACACAGACAAAACCTTAGAAGAATTTTGGAAGAAAATACAAGAACAAAATGACAAAATAAATGAAAAATTAGAAATGATTCTAAATCTACAGATAGAAATTCAGAAGATTAATACTAAATTGTCAGAAATAGGTAACATATTGAAAGGGCAAAGGAATAGAATTGATGCAATGGAAGACAGAATTAATGAGATTGAAGACAAATACCTGAATACTTCTTTGGAAAGGGATCAATCAGAAAAAAGATCAAAACAAAATGAACAAAGCCTAAGGTTCATGTGGGATACCATCAAAAGGAATAACCTACGTGTCACTGGAATTCCAGAACAGGAAGAGAAAAATGAAACCACTGAGAAAACTGTCCAAAATTTGTTGGAGGAGAACTTCCCTGATATGATGAAAGATGAGAATATATCCATTCAGAAAGCCTGAAGAACACCAAACAGGATAGACCCCAAAAGAAAAACACCAAGACACATCATCATCAAACTCACCAAAACTAAAGACAAAGAAAGAATCATAAGAGCAGCATGGGAAAAACAAAAAGTTACCTACAAGGAGCAACCAATAAGACTAAGCTCGGATTTCTCAACAGAAACCATGCAGGCAAGAAGACAGTGGGATGGTATATATAAAACACTGAAAGAGAAAAATTGGCAATCAGCAAAACTGTCCCTCAAATATGATGGTGAACTGAGGACATTTCCAATTAGCAGAAATTAAGGGAATTTGTTAAAACCAGACCAACCTTACAAGAGATGCTAAAGGGAACCCTTTGGACAGAGAAGCAACAACAGCCAACAACAACTGACCACTAACAAGCATGATGATATAACCCAGAAACCAACCCAGGTATGGAAGTATCCAAAGTAAATATGCCTAAAAGATTGTAAACAGGGAACCAGAGATACCAATCCACAAATGAGGACAACCGCAAACCAAAAAAAGGGGAAAAATCTGTGTCATTACAGAACTTCTAAGATGGTAGGGAAGTCGAGACAACTACAAGATAGAACGGACTGTTCTAAACTTGGGAAGAAAACTATAAACCACAGGGTAACCTCAAAGAAAAATTATAAATCTTCACATCAAAATAAAAAAGGGTACCCACATAAATATTCAGCAAATACTAAAACAACAGCAATGAAAGAAATGATAATATGATTCATAAACAAAACAAGCTCAGCATAGAAAATTATATGGAACAAAGAAATCGACACAATGAAAAAGCACAAGAAAAAATGACAGCAACAAATTCATATTTGCTGATTAATTACCTATCTGGCAAGGGACTTATCTCTCAGATTAACGGAAAACTCCAACACCTCAACACCAAAGAAATTAACAATCCAATTGAAAAATGGACAGAAGACACGAATAGACACTTCACCAAGGAGGATATTCAGGTGGTCAGCTAATACATGAACAGAGGCTAACAATCATTGGCCATCAGAGAGATGTAAATCAAAACAATAATGACATATACCGTCTTACCCCAGCACTGATGGCAAGGTTCAATGAGACAAAAATAACAAATGCTGGTGGGGAGGTGGAGAGATTAGGACTCTCATACACTGTTTGTGTGACTGTGAAGTGACACAACCACTGTGGAAACTGTTAGGCCGAAGTAAACCCAAGCCACCAATATGTCAGCTGGCAGCTTCCTCCAGGTGGCAGGCCCTGATGAGACAGCCTGATAAGACAACCGAGGTGACAGAACCCGCCCAGGCTGGAAAGTCCCACGTGATGACAAACTTCCTCCTGTGAAGCCCCTCATGCTAATTAGGTACAGACCCGTGCCAACAGCTAATTGGACCCTGCCATTTCCTTAGTGTCCCCAATTAGGTCCTTTCTGTGTCTATAAGAATCTATCCCCCCTGCCCGGGGGTGCAACTTCTCTGGCCTTGATGCTAGGGCAGAAGAACCTCGCCCGAGAGTGCTAATAAACTGCTTCTCTGAAACAACTCTGTGTCCTGGTGTCTCAGCACAGGCAAATGGCCAGAAATCCCCTATGTCTAAGCTGCCTTTTGTGTGCGCTCCCAACCCTCATTGTATACAAAATGTAATACCACCCAAATTCTCCTTGCCCGTGAAAACCCCAAACCTCGCAAACCCACACCTCTCTCCCCCTCTGAAACCAGTCCAACAATCTCCTCTTCCTCCTTTTCTGACCCACTGGAAAACCTTTCTCCACGCCCCAAGACCCCCTCCTTATGCTGCAGCACAACCCTCTCTCCCCCAGGTAGCATAGTCCTCCCTTCCCCTTACCCCTACAGCTCCCTATCCTCCCGTTTCACCTGCCTCCCCAGACACCGCCTCCTCCTCTACCTCACCCACCCTTTCCTCTCCCGTGAGCCACCACACTCATTCCCAACTTCTTTGCCCCTTGCGCGAAGTTGCTGGGTCTGAAGGAATTGTACATGTCCATGCCCCCTTCTCCCTGGCCGATTTATCCCAAATTGAAAAACACTTAGGCTCTTTTTCAAATGACCCTACCA